AGGGCATGTGTCAATGAACAATTTAAGGTATTGAAAATGCTTGCCAACAACCTGAGAAGAAATGAACGGATGAGTATGCACCATAAAACTCATGTGAAGTACTATACATCTGGCGTTACAAAGCAATGCAATGCAGGAATGGAAGATCACTGAAATGTGCTGTGGTGGTTTACCCGCAATACTATCTAGTGATGATATAATAAATGAAAAACTATCTTTATATCAATAACCCTGCACAATGAGGTCACAAGAATGTGATGTATCTGAGAAAATACTGAGGGTATATGATGCAGCTAGGGAGTTCAGGGCCAAGATTCATCAAGCACTTAGCATCCACTTACGAAACCTGTACATTTTCCTCAGGTATGGAGGCTTTGTTTATATTTTAAATACTCTGAAACACTATTTTGTTGTTTATAACAGTAACCTTGGGTTGGGAAGTTTCCAAGAATGTAAACTGTTTAATGCATGAAAAACAAAGCCACCATGATTGAGGAAAGATGTACAGATTTCATACGTGGTTGCAAAAATGCTTCATAAATTTTACATTTTGGTCTGTCCTGGACCGTTATGTTGAGGAAAAGAAGCAATATAAGTGGTGTCAATATAAGGCAAGAATGAAGGTGAGGTGAAAGGAGAGATGGTGTGTATTGGGTTATTAATGTTTGGCCATGTCATTGTGAGTCTCATTTAAAATAATATAAACATTAATAATGACAATTCTGATGACATTCACAATTTAAATAGCTCCTAATCATGCACTTTTATTAGCCTAGAGCCCTAAACCAATATATAAACGTTCATATGATAAATGATATTTATATTTAAAAATATCATTCCTTCAAACTGGTGAGAAAAAGAAAATTATCTGTAAGATATGTTTTCATTATTATTGTTATTGGGTTAGGGTAAGGGGCAGCTACAACACAGGGTTGCACGGGAACGCACGGTCGTTTCCGTGTGTCGGGAATAAACTAAGCCTGGAGGCAATACATCGCCTGTTGGCAGAAAAACTGCTGTGCCTTACAGCAGATAACACTATGTAGCAAGTGCTTGGTGACACCCTAGCACATCCCTGGAAGAAGTGTGTCAGCACCAATCCCTCATAGAGAACTAACTCTATAGTTTGTAATATCACTGTATAAACCACCTCCCTAGCCATAATGTCCTAAAAATGTATTTAGGGGGCAGTTATAGAGGCATGTACAGTACAGTGCACTATTAGTTTAAAACCTGACAAAAATAAAAACACTTAAAAATATTAAAATAAATTAGCAGAATTTAACAGAAATGTCTTTTATAATATAATAAAGTTCTTCCCTCGATAAAAAAAATAAAAATGACTAAACCTGTCCATTAAATTTTAATTACTAAATTTCTTCCAAAAATTATCAAAATACAAAGTGCCACTATTTTTTGGAATAAAATTAGAAATAGCAAAGGAGAATTCAACCAGAACATTTTTCAAAAAATCTTGAATAAAAACTACCATCAACCAATGACTGAATTGACCCTATCTGAAGATCATATGTAACAAGAAATTCAAAGGCCAAAATAATTATAAAAAAAATCTATACAGTACTGTATTTAAGACATACTAAATTAACCTTTAGATTGCAGCTATCATCGTAAGATTTTTTCACTATAGTTTCCTAATAAATCCCTCTTAATTACCAAGATTTCACATTTCTTAAATTATTACCCAATAACAAATCTTGTTAATATAAAAAAAAATTATTTGAATTTTGACGCGTGTGGCACCGTTATGTCCAAAATATATATATTAAAATATTAATGAGATCATCCAGTATATATTTTAGGTTTTCCCTGAATCCTACAAAAAAAAAAAGTAAAATTGAAGAATCTAAATTTCAATATTAAAATTTAAATTATATTTTTCCAGAAATAATAAAGATCATTTATTAATATTGTTAAAATTTGTAGACTTTTTAACTCAATTGAAAAGAAACTTATAAAACAGCTTATTTTTTCTTTTCTAATATTTCAAGAATTGTGCATAACAGTGATCTAGAGCCAAGATAATTGTGTACTCCTAGGGTTAACGGAACACTCACAACAGAACAACTGCCAAGGAACCAGGACCAGGATTCATCAACCATTTATGCATCCACTAACAAAACTTCTACATCTTTCCCAAAAAGACACCTTTCTTTACATTTATTAAGCAGTTTATGAGCTGCAAAGCCCAACGAGGTCGTTTATAACAATAATAACCTTAGTGAAATTTGCAAGCTCGCAAACTGTATAACAAATGTAAGCAAAGCTGCCATGATTGAGGAAAGATGTACAGATTTCATAAGTGGTTGCATAAAAGCTCGACAAATCCTATCCGTGATCTACTCATTATTGAGAAGGGAAGGGAAAAAATCTGGTAAAATACAACTCTTTGCAAAACGATAGACTCGACAGTCACGATGGGGCCTATGTTTCAAAATATAGGTTGTTGCTTTAAAAATCTATGTTTTTAACATTGTAACCATAAAAGGGCATAATGAGCTGAAACAATCAACCCCTATCTTGAAGGCCAAAATAAGAAATTCAAAGCCTAATTTAGTGCATGTTTTAAATTATGCATAGATAATAGGTTGCTGCCTTCTGTCTTGGCCCCTATAGAAAACAAATAGTAAAAAAACTAATTTCTGGTGCACTAGCCCATATTCTGAACATATATGCCACAGGTGGAATAGGTGCTATCAATTTTGGACGATGGATTGATAAATTAAACACGTACAGTTTAGCTACCATACAAAAAACTAAAATAAACACACAAGCATATTACTTTGAAAATCACATTAAACATCTAAACGAATTTCCAAGAAAGTTTGTGGCTATCCAAACTTATAGACAACATACAACAGTAGAACATGTGATAATAAAAGTAATCATTTCTGTATGTTAAGCAAGAGGATGTGAATTTAAAGCAATTTAGAACCCAACCTGAAAAGATAATTAGCATGGTCACCCAATATAGCTGGTAGAATCCATTTGAAAATGGAAATAAAAGTGAAATAAAATTAAAACCTAAGTAAACAAAGATGAAAGGGAGTTGGTTGGGTATGAACATGAAAGGATTACGGGAAAAGTAAATAAAACCAAATACGAATATTTGGAATTAACCATGCGGTTTTCCGAATGCATCAACTATGGAATACGCTACATGGAAACCAAAGAATGCTGACAAATGTTGCAATTATAAAAACTGGTAAAACCTGAAGGGGAGATAAAATTAAAAGACCCCCCCATTCCAAAGTGTGGTGCTAAACCTGATGGGGCAGATACAATTATGAACACTTCGTACAACTGTACATTAAAGTGTTGAGTCCTTGTGATACGTCTCGCCTAAAAAAGCAAATAATTACAGCACTACCTGAACACCCAAATTTATCTATCACAACTGACTGGAAATATTTATAAATCACACATCCCAAGGTCCTCAGGAAAAAGGCATCATTAGAAAATCTCTCAAAAAGTTTTCCTGGATTAGGTGGAGAGAGTGCATTAATTATAAATTATTTCATAATTTTACAAAGCTTGCATCAAGAGAAAAACTATGTTTTATTAATCACATGAGAGCCTGCATCAATGTTAAGACCAATAAGTTAAATGTTCAGATGTACAGATAAGAGACCTGTTCAAAAGGGGGTCAACATCCAGAAATTGGGGTTAGTGTCCAGGCAGTTTTGCAGGTCGGACATCTGCAATAAATATTGTTTAACTGAAGTGCACATATGGGTGAATATGAACAGTAATAACGAGGACAGTAGAGACGGATGTTCAAGAACACTACGTCAATAACTATTGAAGCATAGCACTGGCTGCCATCTCCAACAATTGATCCTAGATCAACCAACAACTTCAATGTAAAAGCTCACCAATATATATATACATACAGGCTGCAAGAACACTGGTACAAAAAATTGAGTGTCAAGGTAGCAGGCAAGGTTCTTAAGGTGTGCCAGTATCTTATTAAACTCACAAAGTATTTAAAAGTTAAAAAAAAATGCAAATTAGATTTGTGATTGATGAAAGCATGATGGTTAAACCAAAATATAAAAATAACACTATTTTATTCTTTTTAAAGTAAATAAAATATACTGGATTGTGTTGCTCTCATGACCAAAGAGCACCTAGACACTGAGCAACTAATTTACATGCTATTTAAAAGACTGCACCAGGACTCACCAAGCATTTATGAAACCTGTACATCTTTCAACAATCATGGCAGCTTTGTTTACATTTATGAAACAATTTACGAGCATCAAAACTTTACAATCCAAGGTTATTATTGTTATAAACAACCTCGTAGTGCTTTAAAGTACAAACTGCTTAACATAAACAAAGCTACCATGTTCAAGGAAAAATGTACAGATTTTGTAAGCAGATGTATAAATGTTTGATGAATCCTGGCCATGGAGGCTTAATAGGGATTGTGCACATAGTATCCACTTAAATGCGAGTCATCAATATCATTTTCCAAGACTTCTAAATGATACTAAGCCAGTCATCACAGTACAAGAACAGAGTATAGTCTAGAAAGCTCTCAAACATTTCTCTTTATCAAAAAATCTTTTAAGGCAACCTAGCTTCAAACTTAGTTCATGCCACTTCGGAATATTGATTGTCACGTACCTGAACAATGTCTCCTACCATAACTAAAACCCAACACTGCCCTACCATCCCCAAAAACCCTGCCAAAGAATCATCTACGAGCACATCACCATGCTGCCTCAAAGCCGGCAACACCACATTATTGACACGTGAGAGAGAGAGAGAAAAGAAAAAGAGAGAAGGGCGGGGGGGCGGGGCAGAGACCTGAAGGATACTTTTAGTTTGGTATACTGTGAATAAAACCTGCTGTCGCCCGGCCTGGCCCAGGCCCAGTGATGAGGGCAGGGGATGAGCCGGGGACAAGGTGCCATGAGCCAGCGGGATGGCTCCAAGTCACCTGGACGGGAGTAACTGGGTGAAGGAGTGCCAACCTGTCTTCAGGATTAGGAGAGATGCCCAGATCGTTGGAGCGGAGACGTCGACTTAATTCTTCAATCTGCAGCTGCACTGTAATAGAGCGGGTTAGCGGGCAAAAATGCCCAAAATTCAATCAATATAGTGTTCTTGATTAGCATTATAAAAAAAGAGGGATTTGCACTGTTAAAACTTTCCTCCAAAAGAATGAGTAGCAATTCAAATGACAGTGCCACCCATCGTTGTCATTCACAAGTAATAAAACTATCATTTCATCTAGATTATTTCATTAATGAGCTGTTTCGTTGTTTCTACCGTTATTAATATTTTTTCTTTAATCTTGAATTAACCTGGAAATGGATGAAATGGTGACATTTGAGGGAAAAGACTATTAATTAGTTGACTGTCATGCTGTAAACAAATATGAATTATATAAACAATTATAAAGATACAACTTACCCAACTCAAAATAAAATCACAGTACAGTACTGTAATCTTACAATATCCAATCAAAACTCTCACAACTTGGATAGAAACCATTCTCACTGAAATATTCAAAATATTTCTCAAACACACAAAAACTACTGTAAAAATAATCATCTAGTCTTGCATATCAAGGGGATTAATTTTACATCTTTCCTGCTACACCACCAAAAGGTAGAGGACTGGCCATGCTGAAGAGGCCTCCTCTTGCATACAAGAGCATCAGACGATCAAGACTTATGGCCAGGTGTTACCAACAATCTCCATCAGCTTTCCGGATGTTAAAATTGGCGGCAGATATCAGCCGTTTCGACCTGTATTTGCTGACCTTGCCAAGTCACCAATACCATCTGGAAACTCATTAACAGTCCTCAGAGAATAAGCAATTTAACTTACGCAAATACGCTTCCTCCTGGTCTTTAGACATGTTACTGGGCAGCACAGTTGGCATGCCGGGGATGAAGGTCTTGTCTTTTTCATCACCCTGCCACCTCGACTTCCTACGTCGCTTCCTTTCTTCTTGTTCTGCTGATAATGTAAATACAGTTCTCAGTAAAACTAATTTTATACCGAGCATAAAGGCTTATTGGCATAAAAATAGGGTATGACAAGATCATAAATGCATGAGAATAATACAAAAGTGCTAGAAATGGTAAAATACTGTAATGTAAGCAAATTTCAAACTACATATATATACTGTACAGTAAAATATTTCTTGCAGGTGATCTTTATACAGTACAATATTCTGAAAAACAAAATTACTTAAAATATTTAATTCAAATAAATTAAGAGAAATTCAATAAATTGCCACCATAATGTGCACTGTATAGTGTACATGTAATACCCACAAACAAACTTAACCAGCAAATGGCAGGGCCCAGATTAATAGAATCTGGCACCATTGTCCCAACACCCCAGACTGTAGCATGCAGCTGGATGCAAGTCACTTCGGACACAAGATGATTTGCAAATGCATTTCCAAACCTACCTAACCTTAGCCAACCCAAGACAATTAACTCAACCTCACCCAACCCAAGCTAATACAACCCAAACAAACAATTCATTATCGACAATCTCAAGTGTTTTGTGAAACCATCGTGTGCACAATTTGGCCACACCCTGTTTATCTGGCGTGCATTGGTGCCATTTTTCAATTGTAGCCGAATCATGCACACAGGTTTGAAAACCTAACTGAACCCAGCCTAACAATTCTTATCTATATTATCTACATTATGGTCCCATACTGATCCCATTCTTACCATCACTGACCCCAAAATGACCCCCCCACCTTTCCCCCATTCTTACCTTTTAAGGTCCCCCACCCCCCCCCCCCCATCTCAATCTGTCCCCAAAGTGACCTTATTCTTATCTCTATTCAGATCCTATTATATATATATATGATGACTCCAGTCTGTTCTTATTCTTAACTTCTTGCCCCTATGGCAAATAATCTTAAAGCATTCAAATTCTGACCTCTCTGACCACAACCTTATCACCATTCTCACTATTCTAAACTAATTCCGCCCATATTCATACACCCATGACCCCATTCGGGCCCCACTCTTAACCCCAGCCTTACCTTCATAGCTGGACTCGCTCTCCCTCTTGCAGGGATTCTGACTGTGGTTAATCTGTGCTGAGACCGCAGCCGCAGCCGCCGCAGCCGCAGCCGTGGCTGAAGATCCGCTGGAGGAGGAGGAGCTCATATAACTTGGCTTGAGCAGTGATGAGCCAGTTGGGGCAGACTTCTTGCCAGCACCAATAGCCGGGTTCATCCTTCCTAATGGTGTGCTATTTGCTCCACTCATCTTCCGTCACTCGGGGACTTGTTGCACTCTCCGGAGCTCACTGGATGGGGTTCTAGGCGCTCAAAAATGGATAAAATATGGGCGGACTGGCGGCCCAAGACTCATATCGACCCTCAGGACAAAATGGCCGGTGAGGTGGCGTTTCTTCCCGAGATTACGGAAAATTTCCCCGCAGTGATGGCTGGATGTTCCCCGCCACTCTGGTTAATGTTCCCCGCATCGATGATAATTTCTCTCCATAACTTAGATTGGCATTAATGTTAGCATCGATGTATATTTGTAATGGTTATGACTTCTAAGGTTTTTCCCGTCTCGTTGTTAATGTTCCCCACCTCGCTGGTTAATGTTCCCTCAAACAGATTAATATTAATGTTAGCTAATCTACGTAGATTAATATTCTTGTGTTTTAGATTCAGCTACTGGAACAACATTTCCATGTATTTCCTTAGGCTATAGTGACCCCCCTAAGTGGAGGCTCTTTGGAGTATCTCCAGTATCAATAGCTGATACTGGAGATGTAGGGTATGGGGGTCCGTGGACGCGCCAAATCCAATCCAAGGTCATAGGGCTAGTCACACCGGTGTATTGACACGTCGCTCACAGCTGAGTGCCACAGGAGTCACCAGGACTGTTGGCGGGGCTGGCTGGTCTAGGGGTAGATGTCCGGGTGTTTCAAGAAGATTAGTTTCCTAATATCCCAGTTCCCCGATGTTAGTAGTCCGGTTGAATTTCCTTCTTCGAGGTGTCATAGTCGCAGAGGTGGTCGAGGCTTTCTTGACCATGCGAAGGATCTGTGCTGCTATTCTTCGTCGTGCTAGCTTCGTCGTGCTATAAAGTTTTTCATGAAAAACATGAAAAACATAAATTAATAATTGAGTCGCAACATGGTTTTATAAATGGCCGTTCATGTTTAACAAATTTGTTATCTTTTTATTCTAGCATTGTTGAGGCAGTTGATAGTGGTAAGGATTGCGATGTTGTATACCTTGACTTTAGCAAAGCTTTTGATACAGTGCCACATGAAAGACTGATTAAAAAGATAGAGTCTCATGGTATTGGGGGTGCTATATTAAGCTGGATTAGGGCATGGCTATACCAAAGGAAACAGAGAGTTAGTATAAATGGAATCAAGTCAGAGTGGGAAAATGTTGTAAGTGGAGTGCCTCAAGGCTCTGTCCTGGGACCTCTGTTGTTTATAATATATATAAATGATTTAGATTCAGGTTTGAGTAGCAACATTTGCAAATTTGCCGATGATACGAAAATCGGTAGGGAAATTAATTCGGAGGAGGACTCACTATCACTTCAAGTTGATCTAGATAGGGTTTTGAAATGGTCAAAGGATTGGCAGATGCAGTTTAATGCTGATAAATGTAAAGTTCTGAGGTTAGGTAATGATGATAGAGTTACAAGATACGAGCTAGATGGTGTTGTGATTGCGAAGTCGGATTGCGAAAGGGATCTGGGAGTTATGATTAGTAAGAATTTAAAACAAAAGGATCAATGCATAAATGTTCGTAATAAGGCAAATCGGACACTTGGATTTATTAATCGCAGCGTTAGTAACAAGACACCTGGTGTGGTTCTCAAGCTATATCTTGCTCTAGTTAGGCCCCATTTAGATTATGCAGTTCAGTTTTGGTCGCCATATTATAGAATGGATATAAATTCACTTGAACGTGTCCAGCGTAGGATGACTAAGTTAATTCCCCAAATTAGAAATCTTTCATATGAAGAAAGATTAACAAAGCTTAAGTTGCATTCACTGGAAAGGCGAAGAGTTAGGGGTGACATGATAGAGGTTTACAAGTGGATGAATGGACATAACCGGGGGGATATTAATAGGGTATTAAAAGTATCAACACAGGACAGAACACGAAACAATGGGTATAAATTGGATAAGTTTAGATTTAGGAAAGACTTGGGTAAATACTGGTTCAGTAACAGGGTTGTTGATTTGTGGAACCAATTGCCGCGTAACATTGTGGAGGTGGGGTCCCTCGATTGTTTCAAGCACGGATTGGACAAGTATATGAGTGGGATTGGGTGGTTATAGAATAGGAGCTGCCTCGTATGGGCCAATAGGCCTTCTGCAGTTACCTTTGTTCTTATGTTCTTATGTTCTAAATGGTCTACATCTCACTGGTTAATATTCCTCACCTCCCTGGTTTATGTTCTTGTCAAACAGATCAATACTCTTACGGGCTATTCATCCCCGTGCCACCTTTTGGGTGGCTTAATCTTAATTTTCATCAATCATCAATACTCACCGTTCTTGTCAGATTGTCAGATCAATCCTGGAGTATGCAGGTCAACCCGGCGGCTTGTCGAAGGTCCCCCCCCCCCAGTTGCTTTGATGATCTTTTCCAGGTATATTTTAAAACTCGACACTGTTTGACACAACACAAGTAACTAACTTCATCTATTTAGTTTCCTACACTGAGCTTTAAATTTGTTCTGTACCTAGTGGTACCCAATCTCATAATTTTTATGTAATATCAAACAACCTTATCATTGTGTTCATTGCTGTCTTCTTTTATGTGCTAGCCATATGCTGTATTGTGACTACCAATTTTTGTCAACTACCATTCAAGCTGTCATTGCAATCAATCTTATATTGTTTCTGCTGTATTGTGCCTACCAATTTGTTGTCAACTACCATTTTAAGCTGTCATTGCAATCAATCATAGCTACCTATGTGCTTTAATATACTGTACCTATAATTTTCTCTCATCTTTTTTTTTTTCATTCCATGTAATCTGTTATCATTTTTTTGTCTATAAATTTTGCAAGTATTTACCTCCTTAAAATTTTCTTAGATTAAGGACCTGCCCGAAACGCTGCGCGTGCTAGTGGCTTTACAAGACTGTAATTACCATAATTGTATCCTCACATTCCTTATGTACATTCTTGTATATGCATAAATAAATAAATAAATAAATAAAAATAAATAAACACTATGCAAATTAAGGGACCTAGTCTATGGAACTCACTCCCTAGTGAATTGAAAAACTGTAAAACTTTTGCCTTATTTAAAAGCAAAACCAAAAAGTACCTAATTTCATCTTCTTAGTTTCCTACACTGAGCTTTAAATTTGCTCTGTACCTAGTGTTACCCAATCTCCTAATTTTTATGTAGTATCAAACTACAAAACATAAATCAAACTTGAAAAACATAAATTAATAATTGAGTCGCAACATGGTTTTATAAATGGCCGTTCATGTTTAACAAATTTGTTATCTTTTTATTCTAGCATTGTTGAGGCAGTTGATAGTGGTAAGGATTGCGATGTTGTATACCTTGACTTTAGCAAAGCTTTTGATACAGTGCCACATGAAAGACTGATTAAAAAAATAGAGTCTCATGGTATTGGGGGTGCTATATTAAGCTGGATTAGGGCATGGCTATACCAAAGGAAACAGAGAGTTAGTATAAATGGAATCAAGTCAGAGTGGGAAAATGTTGTAAGTGGAGTGCCTCAAGGCTCTGTCCTGGGACCTCTGTTGTTTATAATATATATAAATGATTTAGATTCAGGTTTGACTAGCAACATTTGCAAATTTGCCGATGATACGAAAATCGGTAGGGAAATTAATTCGGAGGAGGACTCACTATCACTTCAAGTTGATCTAGATAGGGTTTTGAAATGGTCAAAGGATTGGCAGATGCAGTTTAATGCTGATAAATGTAAAGTTCTGAGGTTAGGTAATGATGATAGAGTTACAAGATACGAGCTAGATGGTGTTGTGATTGCCAAGTCGGATTGCGAAAGGGATCTGGGAGTTATGATTAGTAAGAATTTAAAACAAAAGGATCAATGCATAAATGTTCGTAATAAGGCAAATCGGACACTTGGATTTATTAATCGCAGCGTTAGTAACAAGACACCTGGTGTGGTTCTCAAGCTATATCTTGCTCTAGTTAGGCCCCATTTAGATTATGCAGTTCAGTTTTGGTCGCCATATTATAGAATGGATATAAATTCACTTGAACGTGTCCAGCGTAGGATGACTAAGTTAATTCCCCAAATTAGAAATCTTTCATATGAAGAAAGATTAACAAAGCTTAAGTTGCATTCACTGGAAAGGCGAAGAGTTAGGGGTGACATGATAGAGGTTTACAAGTGGATGAATGGACATAACCGGGGGGATATTAATAGGGTGTTAAAAGTATCAACACAGGACAGAACACGAAACAATGGATATAAATTGGATAAGTTTAGATTTAGGAAAGACTTGGGTAAATACTGGTTCAGTAACAGGGTTGTTGATTTGTGGAACCAATTGCCGCGTAACATTGTGGAGGTGGGGTCCCTCGATTGTTTCAAGCACGGGTTGGACAAGTATATGAGTGGGATTGGGTGGTTATAGAATAGGAGCTGCCTCGTATGGGCCAATAGGCCTTCTGCAGTTACCTTTGTTCTTATGTTCTTAAACAACCTTATCATTGTGTTCATTGCTGTCTTCTTTTATGTGCTAGCCATATGCTGTATTGTGACTACCAATTTTTGTCAACTACCATTCAAGCTGTCATTGCAATCAGTCTTAGCTACCTATGTGCTTTAATATACTGTACCTACAATTTTCTCTCATCTTTTTTTCATTCCAAGTAACTGTTATCATTTTTTTTGTCTATAAATTTTGCAAGTATTTACCTACTTAAAATTTTCTTAAATTAAGGACCTGCCCGAAACGCTGCGCGTACTAGTGGCTTTACAACACTGTAATTACCATATTATGTATCCTCACATTCCCAATGTACCTTCTTGTATATGCATAAATAAATAAATAAATAAATAAAACACAATTGACAGGGTGGGCAAAGACAAAATATTTAGCATGAGTGGAACACAAAGAATGAGACACAGGTGGAAACTGAGTGCTCAAATGAGCCACAGAGACCTTATAAATATTTTTTTCGGTGTCAGAGTAAGAAGAACATAAGAACAAAGGTAACTGCAGAAGGCCTATTGGCCCATACGAGGCAGCTCCTATTCTATAACCACCCAATCCCACTCATATACTTGTCCAACCCGTGCTTGAAACAATCGAGGGACCCCACCTCCACAATGTTACGCGGCAATTGGTTCCACAAATCAACAACCCTGTTACTGAACCAGTATTTACCCAAGTCTTTCCTAAATCT